TACAGAAAGTATATAAGTTATCCCAGCGATAGCGAATACATTAACTTCAGAAATAGATAAATCAGATAGTTTAAGTCTGACAGCGCGTTAAAGAATTTAGTTTGTGTAAGGTTGAATATTTCTTAGTTATGATCATAAAAGTTTTCTAGGTGAAAAACGTTAAGAAATAAAAATAAGCAAAAGTGAATTGATATGAGACAAACAAACAACAAACAAAGTGAGACATCATTATTATTTATAAATGTAGAACGAAGTACTATATCATATGATTTTACATCATTAAAATGATCTCTTCATGACATTGGACATGAAGCCTGATCCAAAAGCATCAATTTAAATGAAATCAGTGTTAGAAAATAATTCGATTTATACCCGTGAATCTCAGTCAACAAAGTTGTTATGTCGTTTCTCTTCAAATTTATCTGCGACTGAATTGCTGTGAATCGACACCATCGTTCAACATTGTGTATATCGTGGAAACTGGTGGCTAATTCTTTAAACTACCTTGCAGCACTAAATAGTGCAAACTTAGGTTTTTCATTTAAATTAAGTTACATCTGTCTACCATTATTCCTTGAATATTCTCTTAGGTCAACTAGTTCTATGAAAATTTTTCTGGTTTAATGCGTTTAAATTATAAACAGTCTTGTCAACCATACTGTCTTTGTCCAAAGACTAGAGAGAATGTTTTCATCGATAATGGTGTGTAATTATTTATATACGTGAATTTACTAGTTTGTTCTAATTTTGTTAACTTTTTAAATGTAGTTTCTTGAAGCTTTACTGAAGCTTTTTAAAGGTGATTGTAATTCACTGTAAGAAAAATATGTGAAAATCTATCGATAAAAATATTTGGTAACAATACGCAACTAACCGATGGTGTGAAATTTAAACTAATGTAAAAATTAATTGAATCACTATGTCGAACACTGTTGACAAACTAGCTGTTTTAAATCTTTTGGAAGCTACAGGAATAATGAACATTGACGACCGTAAAGGAATAATGTGTTCTTTTTATCCCTTCACTCTGGCAACTGAAGGTACAGTTTTATAATCTTGGCTTATACATCATCTGTCTTATACAGTCAGTCAGTCAGTCAGTAACAACGTAGAACTTCGTACGTACGTACATCGGTTCGATTTGCCACACCACATTTGTACAGAGATGCAGTGGTCGATTCAAATCACGTAGTGCTAGATGTAGTAAAATTATAAGCTGTAATCAGAAAAATTAGGGTTTGAAGATGCTATTCAAGGAGTATAATCCAGTGAAATAAATTTGGAAAGAGAAAAAAGAGAGAGACATGAAGAATTCAGAAGATTAGAATTTGGGAGAACACAAAGAGTGAATGCACCTGCGCCATTGCAAACGATTTTGAGCCATGTCATTCAGGGTCTCTAACCATCGGTTGCTATCATCCCCAACCAGGTAGTCTACACCTACCAACATGACTCAGTCCACTTGTCAGTGACTTCATGAACTTGTGCCATGTTTTGGTCTGGTCGCTTGTACCTTTCTTCCAACCTACTCCTATACCATTGAACATAGCACGTCGAGGTAGTCGGTCATTGGGCATACGTAACACGTGTCCAAGCCATCTCAACTGATGAAGTTTCACTACTTCATCAATTAATTTGCCATCCTTACCTAGTACCCGTTTCCTAACAACGGCATTACTTACTCGATGGTCCCGGGATATACGAGAAATATTTCGAAGACACCCATGATCAAAAACTAGTTACCTACGAATATCCTCTACTCTTACCCGCCATGTTTCACTGCCATAAAATAGGACGGAACGAACTGCTGCGCAATAAACACGTCCTTTGGTTGATAGACGGATATCTCGCCTACTCCGTAAATGACGCAAGTTGGTAAAAGCTAGTCGAGCCTTCTGTATCCGTGCTGAGATTTCGTCACACACCAGACCACAAGGGCTGATGAGACTTCCAAGATAAGTGAAGCGATCGACACACTCAACTACTTCACTCCCTATCATTAGTTCGGTTGTCAATGCAACCCAATCCTGAAGCAACATTTTGCATTTCGATGGGGAGAATTTTGGTGGAGCTTTCATCGTTCTTCTGAACGACATCATCATCACAAACTTCAGACTTCTATCTGAAGTCAAACCATCCAGTTCAGAGAACAGAACTCCACCAAAATCATCCATCTGAGCTACAAATCTTCTCCACCATCTCGATAGGGAGAATCGCATGCTTGCATTGTTGCTTAGAGTGATCAGGAGACTCTGCATTTTGTCAGCGTCTTCACCAAATAAAACTGTGTCATCAGCATATTCTAAGTCAACAAGTGAATCTCCCGGTAGAAGTCCAATCCCTGAAAATTTAGATGAGGAAAGTATTATCTCCAAAAGCACGTAAACAACAGGGTTAAACAAGAATGGAGAGAGCGGACAGCCCTGACGAATACTACTTGAGGTAATCAATTCTGATGACAGTTAGCCAGACAAGTACGCGCTCGTACTAGAACATGATGTGAATCTAAGCATGTGCTCCAAAATGAGCGACAGTCTTCTATCGAGACCCTCCATCGGTGGCTGATAGTGATGTGATGTATTCGGGTCCAACGTTCGGTCGAATTCAGGGGTCGCCATGTCAAAAGATGTTTTTCCTTATTCTCAAAGTTAGTATTTGCAAAGAAAAGGCCGTTATCTGAGCATAGTTGCAACAGACGGTCGCTATTATCTGTTCTTTGAGCCACGACACCATAAGATCCACCTAGGTGTCTTTCCCTATCGCTTAGTTTACCTACTTGAGCATTAAAGTCACCGGGCATTATTACTACATCAGAGCACCTAGCTTTTCGGAGAAGTTCGGAAAGCTTTCTGTAAAACTCATCTTTTACATCATCTGAGCTGCAGTCAGTGGGAGAATAGGCAGAGACGACGAAGAGGCAACGACGAATGTCCCTATTTTTCCGAGTCCTTATTGTTCCGTTCAGTCGGACAGCGCACAAACGACTGTCTACTGGGATCCACTCCAAGAGAGCTAGTTCTGCCCTAGGACTCAAAGCTATACTTACGCCGGCGAGGCCACGGGAAGCAGAATCAGGGCTTTCAGATATACGAAGTGTGAATCGAGTCGGTTCTTTATTTTGGCATGGTGAGGTCAAATGAATGACGCTACTCAGAACTTGTATGCGCTTTTCGGAGACCTAGCACACATCGATGGCGCGGGATTCTAAAGTCTTAGCTGAGGAAGCCTGCTGTCCTATTTGACAGTGTTATGACGTTAAAAGCTTCTACGTGTAGTTTAGAGCGTGTTTTCAGGAGACCAGGAATAGCATTCCGCGTATTCGAATCGTTTGCTCGAGCGGTGCGAGGTGATAAAGGGACGTGAAATGGGTTAATCGGGGAGATAAAAGAGGTACTAGGTGTAGGGAGGATTTGAATGTGACCAACTTGGTTTCGTGTGCTGTTACGGGTATGAGGGCTGATATCACTTCGCGGCTGCCCACACCGTGGAAGGGTATTTCTCGAGGAACCTGAAAAGGACATTAGATTAGTGTTGGTCTTAACGACCTGAGAGCGTGACCGCAGAGCCCAAGGGACAACTGCTTGAGGCCGGTCGAGCACGGCCTTTTCGTGGAAGGTTTCTAATGTGTTAGCTCCGTTCTACAAAGGGCCTTACCGCCGGAGACGGAAATCCGTGAGGTAAGGTGAGGTGTGACATTTTTAGGGTTGAACTTTTCTAAACCCTTCCTTGTGAGAAGGCAGCATCGCTGCAGATGCTGGTTATCTGAGGGAAACACCTTACTGCTGTCACATACCTCTACAGTCAGCAGCACGACTTCGCCCTCAGACCTTGAGTTGCTGCTTCTAGTCTTACCGTTCTCCAATGGACCTGCCTGGCATGGTAGAACCTACAGGAATATATGTATCAGCCAATATAGCTCGGTTGGGTCATTACGATAGGCAAGCCCGACCACCGCGTCAAGGTAGCAGCTTCGGTTGGGCTGTCTTATGCTATTAAGCATTATTCTAAAAAAAGCAATATATATGTTACAAAAGCAATTTTTGTCACACAATTGTTTTCATGGTAATGATTAAAGTGTTTCCCATTCATCCATGAATTCACCTTGAAAAATTTCCCAATCCTGCCTTCCTAATAAATGTATTTTAATGGCAAGTGACTATTAGTGTAACTTGAAGTAAGAGATTTTCAGGTGTAATAAAACTGAAGTTTTTCGGCATCGTTTCAACTTTAAAAAATTACCTTAGTTTTTTAAAAGTATCCTTAAATCTTTACAGTCATAACGTATGCAAATATGCACATTTAGAACAGAAGGTCAAGCGATAACTTAAGGTGATTTAATTATAAGTCTTACATCCATTAGAAATAATGTATAGTTTGACTTATTATGACATTATTTCATTTTGTTTGATATAAACATCATTGCAAACTTAATGAATAGATATATAGCAGTTTGAGACTTCTGTAATATATTTACCCTAATATGTTATACATAAATGTACTCAAAAATTTCATGTCATATTATCAACTATGTTTCCCTCTCCGATGGTCTCATTAAAGTGTTTGAAGTCACTCATTCAATAGTTCAGTATATGATGTCACTCTACGATTAAAAAAAATAAACTCAAATAATTTCCATAAATTTACTTTCTTGAAAAGTAATCTAAATTAAAGGTGAATTTACTTTATTTATAAAAAAAAAATAAAATCAACTTTTCAAAGAAATAAAACAAACACAAAAGGTCATTGAACATCGTCTATGAATTTGTCAATGAAAGAAAATAAAACAAAATTATTATTTTATCAAAAAGAAAAACAAAATAAAATTACCTTTTAATAATTCTTTCTTTAAAGTTAATCCAAAACAACAACAACAAAAATTATTCGATATTAAAAATGTTACAAATATTTTAGAATTATTTGATTGGTTTAAATTATTGACCAATCAGAAATTATTTAGTTTAAATATATAGAATAAATGATTTTCTATAATAAATTATTGAACTGAAATAATGTTGTCAATGGAAAGTTTATCATTAATTATTTGTATTCTAATATTTATTTGTCTTTGTTTATTTTTATTTATTTTACATCAAAGAACAACAAATTCTAAACAACCTTATTCATATACTGAAAATTTACGTCACACATATTTTAATTCATCTATTATGAAATGTATAACATTATGTAATAAACTATGTTATTCTATTAAAACAACACATCAACATGATTTTGAAGCAAATAATATCAACAATAATATAGATCATACATGCAATGTTAATAAATTAATCAATCCAGTAAATGTTCATATCTCTTCTTCAACTATACTTGATCCAGATCAACAAACTAATAGTTTAACATATGAACCAAATAAATGTATTGAAAATTATAAAATATTTCATAATCCTATTTATTATAATAATAATGTTAATGTTAATGGAAAATATTCACAATCATCAATGACAATTGATCATGATCCTATAAAAAATCTCTTATTCAAATCGAATTCAAATCTAAACTCGAAGAATTATTTTATACATAAAACATCTGATTCATCATTAAGTTGTAGTTATTTAAATGATATTACAAATCCATTTGATATTACTGATAATAATTCAAGTAATTTAAATAGTTTATTAGATAAAATATCTCAGCATAAAATACATTTTAATAATAATAATTCACGTAGATTAGAATGTAAAAATTCACGAACTAAAATGTTAGCAATGAAATATAAAAATTATTTATATAGAATAAAACAATCATCTAAATATAATGAATTACATTCAAGATTACATGGAGTATCTAATATAAAAACAATGTAAGTTATTTATGATATATTTGTATCAGATCTTCAGGTCGAAGGCTCTGGATGTGGCCCCCTAAGAAAACCACCTGATTCGGTTTGAGCACTCGATCAGTATCATAATCCTCACACATATCAAGTGAGATCTGTCTGGCGCATATATATTTGGTGCCTTCTTGTTCTAATATCTATGTGTTAAAATAAAAAAAATGTACATTAAGTATTCTAATTATCATCATAGAAAATGTAATCTATGAAAATGTTTATATATACGGATGTGTATTTATAATCTGTTTATGATAAGTTAATATTCTATTCACATGGGTATGTTTAGATAATTTGTGGATCTGTTAGTTAATTATAATGATATTTGTAGATGGAAAAATCAGTCATGTCGGATTATACATTGTAAATGCTTTAGAGTAGTCGTAGGGAGAAAACATTTTTCATTAAGGAGTTTAAACCAAAAAAGTTAATAGCTTTAAAAAAATTCTCGAAATTTGGTAGATATTGGTAAATAAATTAACAGCACTAAGATTATAATGCATTATAACTTGTCAGTATAGGTCGTCTAGAGCTTTCAAGTTTTCAATGATGATTTAACATTGATCGATACATGATCTCAATCATTATGACTTAATTTGACAATATTAGAAAAACGACAGTTTATCCTTCTTTGTATTATTTCACAACTTTTCGCCAGATAACATGGTGCTTTCCAAACCTTAGCAATTAAAATCATGCCCCAAACAGACTTATACTGATTACTGACGTTGGGAGAGCTTACGGCAGTTACCAGATGCAGCTGCTGCTTCCAGCTCATTAGCACGCTTCGACCACCAGGCTTCTCGGTTCTTACGCAAGCTTTGCCCAATTTCCTTACGTAACATCCTTCGTTTATGGTCAAACTCACGGTCACCCGGAGTAGACTGACGCGCTTCAATGAGTTGTAAGGAACCAGAAGAAACCTAGTGCTTATAAGCAGGACGTTTCGCAAAGCCGCAAGCTGCTTTACTCGCCATTTTCATGGCGTCATGAAGTTGCAATTAATGCTCATCTATACTTTTTGGTGGAATGGTAGCTAGCCTAGAAGCTAGCTCGATTCGATACTTACTTGCAACAGAAGTTGCAACCGATTTGCTGACATCAATCTTTTGGTGGTGGTCACTTCGTTGTCCACTGAAAAGTAAGGTAAAATTGGCGCAGGTCAAGGCATGATCAGAGTACAGATAGGTACTCCAAAAAGAGTGGCAGTCTTGTAAACAACCACGCCAGCGGTAGCTGATCGCGATGTGATCAATCAGAGTCCAGGCTTGGGATACAGAGGGAGGACGCCAGGTAGCACATCGGCGATGACTGTGCCGAAAGTTAATGCTAGCCAGAAACAGGTTGTGGTTTGTGCATAGCCTCAGACTATTTATGTAACAATTTATATTTTTATAAACATTTCATTTTGTGATAAATATAACATGAGGATCTAATTTTACACAAAGTTGTTTGAAATATTATTAGCATTTTAACGTAAGATCATCATATACTAGGACGTTCAGTGCTTCGAGGTTTTTCATGGTGGCCTAGCTTTAATTGACCTATGATTTCAACTATTGAAATTACTAAAATCTCCACAAAACCCCTTCTGATACTAATAAATAGACAAAATATATGCATTTACATTAAGTAATGATTTGCTTAATTCGTCTAGATTAAAATGATTAGGTTTTATGTACTGATAAATTTAATTGACAGTTCGGTAACTGTAGTTGTTTTTAATACATATGATCGTAATACAATTATAGTAGGACGTATGAAGAATGTAAACTGTTTCATCTGATATTCAACAGATACTTATCGAAAAGTACATATAAATGATAAACCATAGATTCACACATTTTTTGTCTGATTACTTCGAGATACTATGTAAAAAGATTTAAAAATCTAATCGATTTAGTTCACTCTATTAGTAAATATTTTGAGGGAAAAATGGCACGTCTATAATTTATGAACCAGTCAATCAGATTTACAGTAATGAGTCTTGGATTTTGTCTCGAAATTCATTCATCCATTTAGTTAAACAGCATATTGGCATTTTAACTGATGTAATTTCGTAATGAAAACCATAAATCTAATTAGTAACCCTAACTATCAACTGTAAATCATAATCCATATTCTTGACACAGGTTTACAACTCTTATTTAGCTCTAGTAGGTAGGTGGACATTCTTAAGGTCACTTTTGCGTCACCTAAATGTCGTCCATAAATTATAGTCTCACCGACACAGTTTTTAGTTTACACCTAGTGCTTTTTAAAAGAATAATGTTGAAATAATTATGGAATTCTTTCATGTTTCTACATATTTGTTTTGGAATTGATATTGATTATGGAAAATTAATTCAAGTCAATTTAATAAATTTTGTTATGGATCAACAAATTACTGATATTATATAATCACTAAAAGATCAAGACAGTCGTAGCAAAGAAAGATCAATTGCAGTTTGTCTTTTCTAGAATAGTTTAGCCTTCTTTTTTCTAGAGTAAATTACTGGAAATTAAGTAGTCCCTTGTGACTATATTGTAAACTTTTACTTAACATTAGTTGGTCACTAAACAAAATGTTCATCTTATTTATATAAATGATTATATTATTTATAAATACTTTAAACTTTTCCAAGGTGACAGTTACTGAACTCTTGGATTTAAACTATAAGTACGACTTTGTTCTATCTTTCAGTCAACGTATATTTTAAACTTCTCACACTGCTCATTGTTCTTGAATTATTTTACCTTAATTCTATGAAATATTTGTTATATCAACTGTGTATAAGTGTTATTAGATTTTTATTTAATAAGTAGTTAAGTGCAAATGCCTTAGCTCCAATAGGGTACAATTTTGTGACTGGTATTCGGCTAAGTTAAATAAACAAAGCATTTCAGTGTATGTTTCAATTGATTAGGTTGTTAGTATAATTATAGAAAATGATTATTTCAAAATAACACCCCTAAAACCTACATGGATTATTCCTTTCATACTCCTACGAATAAAACAATTAAGCTTTTACGTTACAATTACCACTCTAAAACCAGTCTCAACCTTATCACATCAAAAGTGGATAACGCATTACTTTTGATCAAGAGATAAGCAATTGTGAAGTAATTATTTGTTAGTTAGCCATCAGATATCATTCTACTATTTCGGTTGTTAGATTGTTAATAAATACGGTTTTATAAACCTGTTGATTGAAATTGTTTATGTGATTTTTTAAATCTCTACTGGCGCTCCATAATAACATTTAGTCTAAGGAAAAGTTAGACTTGACCTAACAGGTACAAAACGTTTGTTAAAAAAAACAGGTGTCTCCTGTTTAGTAAAACAAGTAAGGTGATATTTAGTTCAGACTGGGACTTTTCATTAAGATGCATCAGTAACCTCAACTATGATACAATAAAAGATTTTCTTATCTTTGCGATATTGTGATACCTTTACATTTATTGAGTTACATTCTTAACGTCAATCCCGTTAGCGGTTGTAAATATCATTCACTAAGTAGGACAAATTTTGAAGGCCCGGTCATGTATTTGTTAAATATTTATTTATTTATTTGAACACATAAACATTGGTTCAAGGGGGGCACAAAATACATATGCGCCACACAATGACAACGAGGCCAGTAGTAGTTATCATTGATTTTTGTGAGGGCTATGATACTGCCCGAGCGCCCAGACCGAATCAGGTGGTTTTCTTAGGAGGTCACACCCTGATGCTTTGATCTACAGATCTAATCCACAAGGCATTGGAGAAACGTTAGTAGATGCGGTCCCATGTTAGCAAGTGACCAACAATAGGTTCAGACGCCATTTGTTCCCTCAACAACCTGGGGCCCATGTGCACCATCAGTTTGAAACCAGGGTTTTCCAACTTCCCTGTCTATCAACCCGTTTCATGCGCCAGACATTCGTTATTTGTCCTCTCAGTCTTGTAAACAACACCCCTGCTACGAGAAGGCAGTAAATAGGTCTACCATGGCAGTGGCCGTGTATTCGTGACCATGTGAGAGCATTTAGAGAGGAAGAGTGAACTCTCTCCATGCTCATTTGTACTTGAGTATTTGGGGGCATATTAGTGTTTTAATCACAATCGAAAACTTAACAATCTCCAAACCTTATGCTGATAATTACCATGTGCTCACTAGTGACTAGCTTCGTGAGGAAATTCTCGGTGTTCTAGTTAGTTGCCGTGACCAGTGGAAACCAATACGTGTCAGACAGAGACAGGTATCTGTATCAGACAATGGATGATGGTCGCGCAATTTCGTGAATTGGTTGAAGTTAGACATTAACACCATTTAATACCGACTCAGTGGTCCACAGGTTAAGTGTTCACATGTGAGATCGAAAGTCCTGGGTTTGAATCCCACGAGTGGGACCGTGGATGCGCACTACTGAGGAGTACTATACTCGGACGGAGCATTCGTCCACTGCTTCAAGGTTTTCGATGGTGGTCTAACATGGTGGTCAATCGATTCACTATCTCAATCAAATACGTAGTTTAATGGTCATTTTAGAAGAAAGTGAAAACCTTAGAACAGTGTACAAAGTATTCAGATGTAGTACAATATGCACGAAATCATAAGAAATATAAACCTAGGTTTCTGAATATGTTCGTTTTGTAGATATTGTATTAAGCTTGCCACTATTTATGAGATGAACAGATTTTGTTGAAATAACAGAGACATAAGCCTCACATATCATAGTTTCAGGTTTATAAATGATCTAACTATTCTTCGGATATTACACAATGTCATCTTTGGAGATCAGGTAATTGGCAGTTATACCATAATATTGGTTTGAAAGTTACTGTTTCTTCAGTGTATTGTAGTTTGCTTATGTGTATACTGCTGAATAATTTGATGTTCAGGATAAATTGAATTATTTAGTAATCGGTTCCGATTTATTCATTATCAATTTTTATTTGTTAATTAATTATTAGTGAATGTGTTCAACAGCAAGAGATGGCTTTCTTAAACAGTGAATCCCCTTGGGTGAAGGCAAATAATACAACACACTGTAGTTCAAGCATTACAGGCCAAAGTAACCAATCTAGTAAGTCTATTCATAAAACAGGTTATAAAAACATAATCTGACAAACTAGATCGCAGTATAAAACACTCCTATTGTTCAAGTAGGCAACTGTAGCAGTGGTTTGTGTTTAGTAGGCAAATTACTTTCAACTTGCTAAGTTTACTGACTTGTAAAAACGAAATCAAATTTAGCTATCTAAGAGACGACGTACAGTGCATTATATGTAAATGGAAACATTTGTCTTGATTTCAAAGTGTGAATTTAGGTGTGTTTAAACATCGTATTTACAAACAAGAGCTGGGAGTGAGAACGTATTCTTCATCAATAATAGTCGTCATAATTGTTTGTGGACTGGGTTACTGCATATAAGCCCATATCGATTCAGGCAGTTTTCTTACAAAGCCATTTTATGAAACTTTATTCTAATGACATTACCCACAAAACCATAGGTCAACATGAGGACATTCCGATTAATGATAGTCAACAACCAAAAGAAGGTTTATGCTCCATTTTCACCCTCAGGATTTTGGAGCCAGTGTCAATTTTGATGGAGTTTTGTTCTCTGAGCTGGATGGTTTGGTCGTGGAGCTTTCATCGTTCTTCTGAACGACATCATCAGCACAAACTTCAGATAGAAGTGAAGTGTTCGATTTTCTCCATATGTGTTTCACAGCTTGTTCTGTGCACCTCGATGTTGATTGGTTCTTGTTGACCTTAAATTTATCATTGTTCCTGATCGCAGAAGCAGTGATGCAACGACTAGAAGCCACGATATTACCAGTGATCAAGCCAAAAATTTGGATTCGCTACGTAGACGACACCTTCGTCATCGTCAAAAAGGATGAACTGGAAAACACATACAAATTGATCAACAACGTCTTCAATGACATCAAGTTCACAATGGAACAGGAGTCAAACAACCAACTAGCATTTTTGGATATATTGATCACTAGAACTGATACAGGAAAACTGGAAACTCAAGTATATAGGAAACCAACCCATACAGATCAAATTCTCAACTACAACAGCAACAACCCAAGGGCTCACAAAATCAACTGCGTACACACATTGTTCAAGAGGGCGAGGACACACTGCAGCACACTGGCAACACGAAGAAATGAAGAGAAATACCTGAAGGACATATTCCAAAAGAACGGCTACCCAATCAATTTCATCAAAAAGCACCAACGGCACACAGCATCACAACCCAAGTCAAGCACAAAAATCAGTAAAAGGATCACCCTACCGTACATACAAGGAATATCAGAAACTGCAACGAGACTGCTGAAAACCTTCGGGATAGGTGTGGCACACAAACCAACAAAATCACTACAATCAATCTTATGCAAACCAAAAGATGAAATAACAAAGGAGAACAAATCAAACATTATCTACAAAATAAATTGTACCAACTGCGACAAACACTACATCGGACAAAGCGGACGCCCCCTCCACCTACGCCTACATGAACATCAATTAGCAGTCAAACGCCATGATATCTCTTCACTTATTTCAATACACGTGGACAACTACGGACACTCATTCGATTGGGAAAATGTAGAAATCTTAGACAGAGGAAACTCCAAAAACACCAGAGAATTTTTAGAAGCCTGGCACTCAGGTCAATCAGCAATCAACAAACATATTGAAATCAATCCAATTTATCAACCAATCAGGAAAATCATGCATATATATAAGAACAAAAATCAAAACAATGGGAGACACAACCAAAACAAAGAAGTGAACAATGATAAATTTAAGGTCAACAAGAACCAATCAACATCGAGGTGCACAGAACAAGCTGTGAAACACATATGGAGAAAATCGAACACTTCACTTCTATCTGAAGTTTGTGCTGATGATGTCGTTCAGAAGAACGATGAAAGCTCCACGACCAAACCATCCAGCTCAGAGAACAAAACTCCATCAAAATCATCCACCTGAGCTACAAATCTTCTCCACCAGTGTCAATTATATATTTGGATTTAGTGCTTATTAATTTCCTTCCGTAAGACCTCTCTGTGCAATACTTTTGTTCGCTTCTTGCTCTCGCCCCTACAAAAATGGCTCTTCAATGTGAAGAAAATTACTAAGATTTCCTTGACAATGGCATTTCTGGAGGGAGCTCCGAATATTTGCGATCGCGGCTACACCAGGGCATTTACTTTTATCCCTTTATTAAATCTTGATTAAGCTTCTTTTCTTTTTTCTATCTATTCACAGTATCATTTCTTTATTTATGTAAAGCATTTCTATTTTGTTGTCCAGCTATACTAATATTTAGGTGTATTAAATAACTTTGAAGTTTGGAATGTAAATGTAAATAAGTATTTACGAAAGAGACATTAAAATTCCGTTCACTGAATGATACTCGGTTGGCATAAACTTCATGACTAGGTATGAATAATTGAGTAAACCAAACATTTTAACTGAAAAAAAACAACTGACCTTACCTTTATACCAAACGTGAGTGATTTTTTCCAATGAAGTAATTGTAAACCTGTGTGAACAGCATATGTACATATAGATGACGTTTATGTAGGAGACATGGTTCCATAGTAAATTACAAATGCATCAATGAAGTGTTAATTCCTAACATTCTTTTCAAGTAACTATCTGTTACTTGCCCTAATGTAAAACAAAAAGTTGTTTCAAATTTGAGGATCCTTTTTTGTCATGCATAGAAGACACTCTATCTCATATTGATTAAGCTCTATACTATTCTTATGAAAAAATGTAATAATGTACATATATAATGTATTTTAGGTTGTTCGAGTAATGAGGATGAAATTTTACTGTCTATCTGTCCAAAAGCACGTGATCCAACTAACATTCTGGCCGATATACATGTTCCATTGAATAAAATTATCTTCAACAATGTGGTTCTGCAAGGTAATGATATTTTTGTGTTACATATGGAACAGTTATGTGCTTATTACTATCAGTCGTTCGTTAAGTAATTTGAAAAGTAGGCTTTTAAGACATACGGCTTCGTCAAATCAGATCACATGTAGGTGTTTAAATAAGGTCAAAAGTTTTTTCTTATTATTGACTGAGTAAACTAGAAGTGACTCCACTGGAACATTATGAAATATCGTATTTACTCTCAAGCATTGTATGCCAGATTAAATCATTGCATTGAACTAAACAGTGTTTGAAATAACTAATGGAGGTTATGGTCAGTGTAATCAGTGATAGGATTAATTTTAAATTGCAGTTAATCGCAAACACCTTACTAATGATTTTCTTAAACTCTACAAACGTCTGTTTTTCATTTATTAGTGCAATCAAGTCAAATGTTCTTCATGTAAATTTTAGTTATTGCCTCCTACAGTGAGCTTTTGACACAAACAACAAAATTCAACTACATATACAGTATAGGCATTGTGCTTATACTGCAATAATTTTTCTCTGCTTTACTGACAGAAGACTTTAGTGATTAGAAATAGAGTAGCTATGTACTCGTTACTGCTATAGATTTGTTTCTCATGATATTCCAGTTAGTTACTTTAGAGTATTAAGTGAAATAATCAATAGTAATTAATTTCATAAAATTAACACAAGAGCAAATCTGTAAATACGACAGTCTACGCAACTTATTTTTCATAATATATACATATATAATCTGCTAGGAATCTTTAAGTAAGTAACGTAATTGGACTGCTCAAAGTTGAAATGAAAGTAGAACGTGAATTTCAATAAGAGTCCATATCGTAATAAACGTACATTTGATCCAACCCATGTGATGAGAATTCCAGTCGACCAGTGTAAATCTATAGGTAACTTTGTACTCAAATTTCATACTAATTAGTAAGCACAAGTGACAAATGTAATGTAACTTATTCACATAAAAACAGTCCTCAACCAAAGCCTGTACTGGACTGTGAACCAAAAGAATACAGTATTTTTCTGACTGGCAGTATAACATTAGATAGTTTTTCATACAATTCAAAAAGCTAAAAGTTATTAAGAACAACACTGGTCCTTGTAAGCAGAGATTGATGGTGGCTAGCAGTGTAATCCACGACGCTCATTTCGTCTTATTTTGGATAACGCCATGGCGTTTTAAACGAACAGTAATGGGTTCGAATCATGGAGTGGACATCAACTGTTGGATGCAGGTACATCCACCTGACGAGTTCCGATTGAGACGAAACGCGTCTCCTGAATTCCATTGCTAGTCACTATCCATCTTCGCTTATAAAGCTCGTGACTTAAGGCAATATCGAGGAATTCGGTACAGCATGCATATATACCAACAAGAGACTGATCAATTGCATAAGAATGGGAAGATACAAGCAAACAATACCAAGGGAATCTAACATTGATCCTTTTTCATAGAAACAGATTTCTAAAATGATGCGTTATGTTTGTTTGCAACTAATAAAAATACCACTGTTTCATCTGTTGAAAATTATTATGATTTAAATCATTCATAAACGTCTCTATCTGTTGAAAGTTTTTCCTTAATTTATTTAGGAACATTTAGTCAACTGTATGAAGGAAAACTCTTGGTATCATTTCGAAGACATGGTATTTGTACAAGTAAATGGAAGCAAGTATTAATCAAAACACTAACTGGTTTGTTTTTAGTTTGAATAAATCTTTTAAAAATTTCCTTTTTTTGCTCAAGGTGGTTTTTTCCCTGTTAGTTTTAATGGATCATCTATGTAATGTTTTATCCTAAACCATAATATTCTAATGAACTTTAAGAAAAAAGTTATTTAATGTAGGTAGCTCTTAAAGATACAAACAACATAATGAAACCTAATGCCAAAGATTAACAGTTAGGAATCCGGTTATCTTTAAAAGAATAACAATTTACTTAGAGTTAGTTTTCTGCTTAAATAATTGCCGTCAATAAACAGATCCATAAAGTTTCATGTATCAATGATTTTGTTTTATTATTTATTCTGAATTGACGAATTGATCTGAACAGCTCAGCTATCCAGTAATAAGATATTCTTTATATCTATGGTAACTATCACTTTTTGACATGTATAAAATGTTTCTGATGATATATGTAAATATCTATGAAATGATAAGATGGAATAACAGTTGGAGAGGTAAATAATTCCAAAAGACTTCCTTGCTATAATAAATGATAAATGATCTTGGTTTGTCCCCTAAATACCACTTCAAAAGTATAAATTTAAGGAAAACTATAAATTATTTTATTGTACACGTGCTATGTAATAAACTATTTTGTCGCATCTTTCGCTGAAAATAGAGTAACAACAACCTACTGAGTTTCTTACTTACTTACTTACTTACTTACTAACACCTGTTACTCTTCGTGAAGGAGCATAGACCTCTCGCCAGCATTATCCATCCAACCCTGTCCTGGGCAATCCTTTCCAGCTCCTTCCAGGTGTTATTCATTATTTTCATATCTGCTTATATTTATTTGGCCTTCCTCTTTTCCGCCTTCCTGCAGGATTCCAAGTTAGGGCTTGCCTCGTGATGCAGTTTGATTATTTTCGTAATGTATGTCCTATCGATTTCCATCGTCTTTTCCTAATTTCTTCTTCAGCTGGAAACTGATTTGTTCTCTCCCACATTAGGCTGTTGCTGATGATATCCGGCCAATGGGTGTTGAGCACCTTGCGTAGACAACTATTAATAAATACTTGCACCTTCTTGATGGTAGTTGCTGTAGTTCACCAAGTTTCAGATCCTTACAGTAGAATGCCTTGACGTTCGTATTGAAGATTCTCACTTTGATATTGGTTGAAAGTTGTTTTGAGTTCCATATGTTCTTCAATTGTGGAATGCCCTTGCTTTGCCAATCCTCGCCTTTACGTCTGCATCTGAACCTCCTTGTCTATCGACGATGCTTCCCAGATATGTGAAGGATTCTACATCTTCCAGAGTTTCGCCATCAAGAGTGATTGGATTGCTGTTCTCCGCTTTGAATTTGAGGACCTTAGTTTTCCCTTTGTGTATGCTGAGGCCTACTGATGCAGAGACTGCTGCTACACTGGCTGTCTTCATCTGCATCTGTTCGTGTGTACGTGATAGGAGGGCTAGGTCATCTGCGAAGTCCAGATCGTCTAATTGGTTCTGAGCTGTCCATTGTATTCCGTGTTTTCCTTCAGATGTCGAGGTCTTCATAATCCAGTCAACCACCAGAAGAAAGAGGAAGGGAGAGAGTAAACAGCCTTGTCTGACTCCGGTCCTTACTTGGAATGCATCTGTCAGCTGTCCTCCATGCACTACTTTGCACTGTAGTCCGTCATATGAGTTCCGGATAATATTGACAATCTTCTCAGGAACTCCGTAGTGTCGAAGAAGTTTCCATAACGTTCTCCTATCCACACTGTCAAATGCCTTTTCATAATCAATGAAGTTGATGTATAGTGACGAGTTCCACTCAACTGATTGTTCGACGATGATCCGTAGTGTTGCAATTTGGTCTGTGCACGACCGATCCTTTCGGAATCCAGCTTGTTGATCTCGAAGTTGGGCATCTACTGCATCCTTCATCCGGTTCAGCAACACTCTGTTGAAGACTTTCCCTGGTATTGACAGTGTTGTAATGCCTCTGTAGTTTTCACATTTGCTCAGATCTCCTTTCTTTGGAATCTTGACGAGGTGTCCTTCTTTCCAGTCCATCGGCACTTGTTCCTCCTCCCAAATCTTTTTGAATAGAGGTAAAGCATGCTTGTAGTTACTTCGATGTCTGATTTCAGTGCTTCAGCTTGTATGTTGTTGGGTCCTGCTGCTTTCCCGTTCTTGATTTGTCTGACGGCCATTCTAATTTCTTCCGTAGTTGGTGGGTTGACATCTATAGGAAGATCTGTGTGTGCTGCTTCGATGTCCGGTGGATTCATTGGAGCCGGCCTATTCAGGAGTTCCTCGAAGTATTCTACCCATCTGTTCGCGTTGTGAATTTCAGTGATGGCTTGCCTTCTTTGTCTTTGACCGGCCTCCTGGTTTACTGTATTTCCCTGATAGTTCTCGTTGTATCGTAAGCTGTTCATATTTCCTTCTAGCAGCTTTACTGAGTTTCTACAAAAACATTTTCAAAGAACTGTGGTTCTTCTTGTTCAGAAGTACTTTCCTTAAAGTGGAACATTGATAATACGACTTGTATGTCACATTAAAAAAAACTGGTATCCATTTTATTTATTTATTTTGAGTCCTAGTAATTATTGTTTCCAATGTTTTTAAATAAGTAAATCAAATAACTATGATTTTCTTCCACATTCTCTACAAGTGATACATAGCGAGAATATAACGTACGAAGAAGAGTATCTAAAACTTGAACAAATGTCTTGGAGCACTGAGTTCTTTAATTTTATTTTGAAGTACAGTGTGGGATAAGCTGAGCTTCATTGATTTTAATCTATGAGTAAACGCATCAATCCCTATTTTTTCTGTATGTTCTTATACACTTAGTTATAAAGAATATTGTCTTTTCTTTATTATTATTATTTATTTATTTCCTCTCTTTGATTATATCATGATGTCTAACAATAATCAAACAGAAAAAGCCACAGCAGAACAAGTAAGACTTTTTAAAAGTGATGCATGTAAATTTGTTGGGGCAAAACATTCACATATATCGTCCATTATTGCAGCTTCGAGTACGTCAGTTTGTGTAAGTTCCCTATCTAATCAACAAATAATCAATCAACCGATTCTTATTTATTCAAACGCCAAATATGGAAATTTAAAATTGTTCTTGCAAAGGCGATCAAATGGGAACATGAGACCAAATATGGTAAGTAGTTGTTTGTCATTTTTAATATAAAATTGAACAAATGTACTAACTGGCCTAAGTAAATATAAGGTTTTTTAGTATTGAGTGTAAAAGCTAAACAAATTTCGTACTATAAATTAAATTTTCCATTAGCATACCATAGGTTTGGGCATATACTTCGTAATTATTGCGTATAACTTTATTGTCACAAATACTTTATGCCTAGACCGATGATAAAAACATAAAAGTTTAATAGTTGAATGAATTAGTCGATTTAAGCCAAGCCGAAAGCCCTGGGTTTGAGTCCCATGTGCGGGATCGTGGATACGCACTGACGAGAAGTTCACTGCTAGGACGAAACGCCCGTTCAATGCTTCCGGGTTTTTCATGCTGATATAACTTAAATCGACTCATGAATTCAACATGTAGAAGTATAACGGCGGCCTGCTTGAATATCTGGGATACCTGTTTCTGCCATCTAATTATTTCAACACGTTATCTGTTTTTTCATTTTGTTTCAACGTCTCATTATGTCCATTAACCGCATAACCTATACAGCCTACGACCTTTTGCTGCACAAGTTAAAAAAAGTACTATAAAAGACAGCGTGGTGGTTTGCAATATGTGTTAAAAAGAATGAACATTGATGGTATGTCGATTCCCGAGCTGCTAAATTCTAACTGCCGATCGCTAATCAACAAAGTGGACTATCTTCAATTCCTACTAAGTCAAAATATGTATCGTAATTGTGGTGTCATCACAATTCAAGAAACTTGGTTAAATGATTTATAGGATGACTGCCTAGTATCACTACGTGATTTCAAAATTTATCTTCAGGATCGATCAAACAATAAAAACAGGTGTGGCGGCGGTGTAGCTACGTTTGTAAACATGAACTTGTGTCGATCTTCGTTTGCGTGTTTCAAGTTTTCAAATAACTTTATCGACTGTCTAACTCTAAGATGTCGTCCAAAACATCTGAATAAATACAGATATGTTTATGTTACCAATATCTACGTGACTCCATACTGCACATTATCTGCGCTATCTGTTTTCGCTGATGAATTCACTGAGTTCGCTGTTACTGCCTTCAGTGATTCACATTCAGTTGTATGTGGCGATTTCAATTCATGTGACTGTAGCTTCCTTACATCACTAGGTGACCAAAATGTAGTAGATTTTCCTACTCGTTTGGATGCTCCAGTCACTTAATTCATCCCGATGTTTAGGACATTAACGTTTTATCTAAAGAAAACAGGTAGTTTATGTAGAACAAGTTCAATCTTAACCCTAAATATGTCATCATTATGAGTGACAACATATCATACAGGACGTAAACTCTGCATTTCAACTTTAATGAAGTTTTACAATGACCTAAATCAACAAAGATTAAACCTGCTGGTTGATAAAAATTTAATTTTTATCTAATATATATTTTATATAATATCATATGATATGAATACGTTTAAAATAAAATTTTCGGATGTTCTATTTCAATAACGTTTATATGAATTGCACCGTAGTATATGACTCTTTAGATAGCATGAGATAGTATAATCATAAATGAAATCGGGGATAATTTAGCTTCGATGTAAACTTTGTTTATCATAGGAATCAATGTCAACCTTTACTTATTTGAAACAAAAAAAAACTAGATCGAGTTATCGAGGACAACAAAATGTTGAACTATATTTGACCTAAATATTACTAATTCTGAATAAAGCAAGAACAATGATTTCAACAGGATAACCTAGATTCGTTTTGTTTAGGTAGGTTTTAGTTTGGTGCTGATAATCTGTAGTGTTTTAAAATCATAGGGAGTTGTGTTAATGGAAATCAGGTTTATACATTGAAGTGTCTCAAAACGATTAGTAGATAACCTAGTTCAAGCCTTCTGTAGCTTGCTAAAACTATTTGTCAGACTTCAGAAAGATGATTTATGTGTTCAAAAAAGAGTGATTTCATTCCTTGTTTGCTCTAGAAACATGAACATTGTTTCATTACATAATCAAACTTTTTTTGGTTTTTTCTTATGTGATTAATTCATTGTTTCAGTTTTTTGGTTGTATTCTAGTCTAATAATTTTATTTCCGATTAGTTGGGTTATTAATCATTTTATTCTTATTTATCAATGACGTTTGTTCATTACTTGACCAATTGCTTCTAGCCCTTTAATCTCTAACCACTATCATTGTTCCAGAATATCTTTCTGTATACTCTAGGTGTTTGAAGTATGGTGTACTGAGATATGCTCACAACAACTTCAAGTTAAGCTTATTTATATCAATATTTTCAACCCCTTTTTTGAAATAGTTTCTTTTTAAAACATTACAGGATACAAGAAACTGACAAGAACCCTAATTAAATATAGTGAATTCATACTGTTTTGGTTAAATCTTCATTTATGGTCTTTTCAAGTTAAACATAGATCGTTGATGCTAGTTGTTTAGGTATAAAATGTTACAAATTTATACAATACAGTATTTTTGGGAAAATAAATGAAGAGTTAGACTGAAACAAAAGATCATTTGACTGAGATCATGATCCGATTGATGTTAGACCACCATTGAAAGCCTGGAAGCAATGGACGGCCATTTCGTCCTAGCATGGGACTCTTCAGCAGTGCCCATCTACGATCCCACTTGTGGGATTCGAGCCCAGGACCTTCGGTCTCGTGAACAAACGCTTAGCGTTTAGACCACTGAACCAGCATCCAACGGTAATAATGTCTAGCCTCAACGAATCCACAAAAGATATTCTCAATTTAAGTTGGTTAATAATTTCAGAAGGTAGAAGTAGTAGTGGAACTTATTTCCTAATTTGCACAGTTTTACTTGACTAGCTACTGATTTAACACTTATATATCGGCAAAAGTGTTTTCTACTGTATTTTGTTTTAAAAATACACCCTTAAAAATTTAATTTTTACTGCAATTATAATAGTTGTTGTTATTGTCTAGTAAACACCATACTTTCTGTTTATCTACTTTTCGGGAAGAAAATGAATTGATGTTTGGATTACTCAAAAATGCTAACGAAATGTATTTTATTTATCAGTAATTAGGAATGATTATTATTTATAACTTGATGGTCATTATTATTTTAATAAAGTTTTGAATATTCTTTTGTATAATGCTCATAGATACTTACAGCAGCTCAACTTATCAACATGGCGTTACAAATTCTTAGTGCAGCAGATTATTTGCACAGTATAAATGTGATTCATGAAGATATTGCAACACGAAATTGTCTGTAGGTATATTAATTTTATCACTGAATTCATGAAAGTCTTTGGAATAGTTTCAGTAAAAGTTGGTTATTTGTAGACGATTATCAAGAAGTTTTCAACATAGGTTTCATGTAAGCCAAAGATCCCTTGGAATGATAACTTGTACTGTTGAATTAAGCACTGTTTCTTCGATGACTGAAATCCGTGTCATTCATTTTGATAGCCTGTGGCTCTACGCTTGAGCTATTTGGTTTGTAACTGACATTTTGTGGGAGCTTGTGGTCGATTGCAAGTACTTTATTATCACAGATGGTGTTAATAACCCAAGTGACTTAACTGCAAGGTCAGTGCTTATACTGCGTAGAGTTACCTATTCAAATCAGAAGAATATCTTTATTCACAGGTTTTCTGACACATTCAGACGTGTCAGCTGGCACGAAGTCTAAGTTAAGAGTTCTATGCAGATTACTTTCAATCGTTTAACATCTAAATAAATAGATGCAGTCATCTTCATTTTTCGGAGCAGTTCACTCAGCATTTATAATAAATCTACATGATATAAGATACCACTACAAAACTGAATCGCATATTTGAATCAAACTTCAGGGTATAAGATGAATGTATTGTACTGCGTTGAAACACGTCACATACAAGCTTACAATAGGACTAAAAGTGTTCACTCAGAACTAATATGATTGCCACTGATTATTTTTTCCTAATCTGCATTTAAAATCCCACAGATGAACAGAAGTTAACAAGGCAATAAATTTTACATTGCTTAGGTGTAAAAAAACATGAGGATTTTAAAATGGTTCAGCTTTTCCAAGTCAAATGATATAGATCCTTAGGGTTGTCATAAAATTTCAACTGATGTTTCAAGCTAATTTACAATTATTAAATTCACTCAAGAGGCAAATTTTTAAGGTTTGAAATTTGTTGACGGATAGTGAATTTCAGAATATTCATAAAAATAAAGCTTGAAGGGGCTAAAAATAAAAAAAACATGGTTAATTTGATAGTTTTACTGAAAGCAGTCAGTAACAAGGACGGAAGACAATGTTTCGTTTAAGTTATAACTATTCAAATTTCCCTTTCTCTAGCTAACTTCATTTCTAATGATTACAATCTTTTCTTTTACAAGATTAAAATGTAGAACACGTGTAGCTCTTAGTGACTCGGCACTCAGTAGAGATCTATTTCCTGAAGATTACCATTGCTTAGGTGATAATACAAATCGCCCAGTGAAGTGGTTAGCATTGGAAGCGTTGATCGAAAGAAAATATACTATGGCAACAGACGTTTGGTCTGTTGGAATAACGTTATGGGAGCTTATTACTAGAGGTCAGCAACCTTATGCCAGTATAGATGCATTTGAAATGACAGCTGTACTACGAACCGGATACAGGCTGAAAAAACCTCATAACTGTCCAGATGACTTGTGAGTTTTACTTCTGTTTGTTCAAATTCTATCGGTAATAACCCAGTTTGTACTGTTGTTATTTTACATTTAGCAGTTGTAAGAATATTTTCAAAATGCATGAATTTGACATATTTTAAGCTAAGATGCTGACGAAATAGACATCGCAGATGATCTGGCTCGTCTACTGCACACGCAACAACAAATGCAAGAGAAGACAATCAGTGTAGCAGCAGTCTCAGAAGCAGTAGGTCTCACAAAGCGAAAAGCAAGATTCTCCAATACAACACAGCATACACCAACCGAATCACATTTAATGGAGAAGCTTTGGAAGATGCAAAAACCATTACATATCTGGGCAGCATCATTGATGAACAGGGCGGATCTGATGCAGATGTGAAGGCACAGATCGGCAAAGCAAGAGTAGCATATATACAAATGAAGAACATCTAGAACTCAAAACAAATGTCAACCAACACCAAGATCAGAATTTTCAATACAAATGTCAAGTCAGTTCTACACTATGAGGCGGAAACTTAGAGAACTACGAAAGCCAGTATCCAGAAGATACAAGTGTTCACTAACAGCTGTCTACGCAAAATACTTTGTATCCCATAGCCAGACAATATCAACTACAATGTACTAAGGGAGATAAAAAACCAGATTCCAGCAGAGGAAGAAATCAGGAAGAATGTGCAACAATTAAATATAAGTAGAAATTAAGGCCCAGAACACAGAGTGTGTTGGAAAATGCTGGTCGGAGGCCTATGTTCCATTGGGAGTAACAGGCGTAAGTAAGTAAGTAAGTAAGCAAGCTAAGGATTGTGGAAAATAACAGTAACATGTTGGAGAGTGAGCTTAGTACGCTTCAATACATTATATATTATGAATGTTATGAACAATGAGTTTGGAAAGAAAACAATATTAATACACATATACAGAACTTTACAGAATACCAAAAGCACTGAATTTAAAGAAAAAATAAACATATTAATATAAACTGACTATCGCCACTTTTAACTGATCGAATTCACTTCATAAATCTGATAATAACTAGATGTAAGTTTACATCAAATGACATTATCTCTGTGTACATATAAAGGATATATATATATATTAGATGACAGTTAGAGTTTCCTTCAGAACTTACAATTGCTTTTTATTATTGATCATAAAAATGATATTCGGCATAGATAAATTGTTTCGCAGAGTACATACATATATATTCCTCACTGAAATGATTTTAATTCCCATGGCAATAATAATAGTTCATAATATAAGAGAATTCTTTAAAAGAAAATATCAAATTAGGTTATTATACATTGAGATATACAAACAAAAAAAAACAAACTATGATGAAATGTTATGTTTCAACTCTATGGTTGTTTAGTACTTTATTCAATAAAATGGACAAAACTATGGTACTTCAATGGGTTTTGCTTTATGCTTAACAAAATTTTTCAACTAACTACCCATGAGATATTATACATTTTAAGAAACTAGAACAGCTGTTGATAAAATAAATATCTTAAAAATGAATCGGTTAGTTACAAATTGAATATAAAAGCTTCCGAAAATCGGTATATAGATAACATATGTTATGTTGTTGATCAAATATAACTTCATAACATTTACGTTCCAATATTATTTATGCAAGTTAAGTGAAGTATACTATGGTTTCAATTTAAAGGCTTTTATAAGTAGATGAATATAATATACTTTTGTGATCTATATTTATTGTGTTGTTTGGTTTTATAGTAAACCTTTCTGTTTTAATCAGGTCAAATCTGAATAAAAAGTAACATTGAGTCTTTTGTTTGTATGAGATAGTTCTCTAGATGATGAGATTTAATTTTGAACAAACAGATTTTATCTAAATTTAAATTTCTATTCCTAATAAATGTTACTAGAGTAAACAGCTACATTATTGTATTGATGATGTATTGTATTTATTGACTTACAGTCTAATATAATATCTGAATAATAATCTACATATTATGAAATGAAGTGTAATGATTATAAGACAGAAAAGTTACATAACATTGAACAAATTGTTTCTCTCACTTTGATATACTTGAAAGTTTTTTTACTAGTGGATATTCAGTGCAAGAAGCATCTTCCAGATAATATTCAAAGTAATTATCATCTTATAATTGTATTTACATTTGGAGGCATATTCAACCACTTAATCAATAATAATTGATGTCAAAGGAGAGAATTAATTCCTTAAAATGGTTTGCTGAGGTTACAGGAAAAATAAATTGTCATTTAATCTACATTAATCTGGTTATTATCCGTAATTTGCTACCATGTATTTTTAATGACTAGTGGTATCCAGCTACTGTAAAATAAATTTTTAACCTTCTCTAGAAGTTATTATTTTGATCTACATTTCTTACGCTGATATATAAAATTCTATCATCATATGTATTGTTATGGTTACTTACTTGGGCCTGTTATTCATGGAGGAGGAGAGAGAGAGTAGACAGCCTTGTCTGACTCCGGTCCTTACTTGGAATGCATCTGCCAGCTGTCCCCCATGCACGACCTTGCACTGTAGTCCGTCATATGAGTTCCGGATAATATTGACAATCTTCTCAGGAACTCCGTAGTGTCGAAGATGTTCCGATAATGTTTTTCTGTCCACACTGTGAAACACTTTCTCATAGTCAATGAAGTTGATGTGTAGTGATGAGTTTCACTCAACTGATTATTTGATGATGATCCGTAGTGTCGCAATTTGGTCTGTGCACGACCGATCCTTACGGAATCCAGCCTATTGATCTCGATGTTGGGTGTCAACTGGGTCTTTCATTCGGTTTAGCGACACTCTGTCGAAAACTTTTCCTTGTACTGACAGTAGTGTGATGCCTTTGTAGTTCTCACATTTGCTACATTTATTATAAAAAGTATATATTCCTTTTTTCTTAAATCTATCCTTTCAAATTAAGCAAATGGTACTTTCCTGTAGTTTAACTACATTTATTGTTAAACTTTTGTCAACGGGTCAGTTTCATGTATTTTTGATCATTTATTTGTTTATTTTTACACATAAACATTGTACAAGGAGGCACCAAATACATATGTGCCACATAAATCATTCGAGGCCTGGGAAGCTGTCCGGGTGACAAACCGATACAAATGGTTTTCTTAGGAGGCCACACCCGGAACTTTTGATCTAAAGGACTGATCCACAAGAGAGTAGAGCAACGTCAGGAGATGCAGTCTCACGGTAGCCGGTGACCAACGACAGGTTCATACACCATTTGTTTCCCTAAGATACTGAGACCCATGTGCACCGCTGGTTTGGGATCAGGGTTTTTCAACTCTCTTAGGTGAACTCTCCATATACATCCACCCGGTTTAAGCACCTGAATTAACTTTCCGTTCTCTGAATTTCCTTAAACAACACCCTTGTCACGAGAAAGCAGTGAGTAGGACTTCCCTGGCAGAGGCTATATACACGTGGCCGTGTGAGAGAGCATTTCGAGAGAGAGCTGACTGTCCTCATGCTCAGCCACACCAGAGCATTTAACTTTTCGGTTATTAAAAACACTTTATTACAATTAGTTGAAAAGTTAATCACTGATAATACTGTCATAAAAATATACTATAAACAATACAAAACACAAATGTTCATTTTATAAGTAGGCAATGATCAGAGCTCTAATCAAAGTAAACCATTACTTAGCAATTATTTATTCTTTCAACTTGACATTTAAACAAAGTCAGTACTAATATTCTTTAAAATTTTCACTTTACTTACTATCCAATTAATTAAAGTCTATTTACTTTCTTGTTTGTTTTTTTTTTAATTATTAAATAGATGGAAAATTATATTTGCATGCTGGAAAACAAATCCTTCTGCTCGACCAACAATTCGTCAACTTATTGCCAAATTAAAAGCATTTAAAGTTGCAGTAACCAATTATATTTAATTTAAAATAAATATTAAAAACAAAAAATCTAGATAATATTTTTATTAAACAAGAGAACATAATAATTCATATTATATTTAGTATTTCTAAATATAGATGTATGTAAGCATAGAATTTATTTGTATCCAGGTTAAATCTCTTGTTGGATAATAAATATTCAAAGTATTAATCAAACAAAAATGATATCTATCATGTTTTTTGATGATTAGAAATGATGATAAAATTTATATGCAAACGATAGTTTTATATTAGTAGTATTGTGGTGTGCTACTTATATTGACATAAGTAGTATATGATATTAGTCGTAAACAGAAAGTGTGGAAGTAAAGAGACAAGAGGACCGAACAGTAAAGAATGGAAACAAGATGCGATTTGTATGACAATGCAAGAACAATGAAGTCTGTGTCATTTTGAGACGATTGGTGGACATTTCTCAAATTAAGCATTCACTTTATGATTGTTAGATTTTATTCACAAGTCCTGTAATTTTGTGTTAAATACATTCGTTTGTCCCCACTGATGTTCTGTTCACTACAGTATGATTATATAAGTATCAATGTATCAACTAAGTACTGTTTACAAGGGTTTTCCTAAAACAAAGTCGAATTCCAATGATTAACATAGATAATTCTAAATATGTGTAGTTGCACTTGTAACAAATAATACAACTATAATAAGCCATATAATATACAATAAATTGATATAACGGAGTACTTTAAAGATTATATGAGTTAATATTAATCTATAGAATATGAAAAGTAAAGATATGTAGATTGAACTATAAAGTTACAAAAAGAAGAATAAGTTCCCCTTGAAACATAGAGTTACGATAATCTATTATAATATCCAAACTAAATCTTATTTTATGATAGACACAACAGAATAGTCATTTAAATAGCGATATTACGCCGATAGTAGACTTTCGAAATTAAATGGCGTTTTGTTTTTAAATCGGTATGTAAATAACCATGACTTTATGTAGGTAACCTTTTTTGGTAATGAAACTTAAAGATCAATGTAAGTTGCTTATGATAGATTTTTTATGTAAACAGGAAGAATACTACTGCCTTATTTATTTTACATATCATTACTTTGTTATATAAATACTACAGATAATGCATATGATTGTTGTTTTCTACTCAAATACTCATTTTTAAACTCCTTATTGTAAATTTATTTATTTGTCGAGATTGTGTAGAATTAGCAGATACTGGCTTCAAGATATAAATCTCGGAGTTTCAATGAGAAACCATGATCAATAGAAATCAATCTGTGTTGAGTGTGATGCAGTTGCCCATCGAAGACAATGGAAGTTGGTTGCACAATATCAGATATTGGGTGAGGTTAGACATTAACAACGTTGGACGCTGACTCAGTGGTTCAGAGTTTAAGCGTTGTTAATAAATGTATGTTGGTTTCATCAACAACCAAATAGATATTCAGTGATACCGGTTTTTCAACAGTTATTTCATCCGAGTTGGTTCGTGATTTCAATTCACAAAATCCAACAACCTTCTCAACACTCCATATTAATGAATTCTATCATTGGCTACGGCTACCCAATAAGCATTCGACTATTTAAATTATAATATAATTTTAAGTTTTCCGATTTCTATATAAACGGTATGAGAAAAATGGGAAAAAGTGACAAAATAACACAAGTGCATAAAATTCTGAATTTCATAATATTCGGAAATAGCTACAAAATGCATAAACATTTCAATAGAGCAAATCTAAACTACAATTGTATGGTCCAATTAATGGTGCATATACCCAACTGATGAAAGCATCTGGAAATAACTCAGTCAGTGTAACGACACTGAATAGTAAAGGAAGTATTATCATAACGTCGTAAAGCAATATATACCATCGATTTTCGTTATGCCAATAAGATGATGGATTTGGGTTTAATTGAGGTTTATTTTTACCTAAAAATGTTGGAAGATGTTGGAAGTTGTTCTACAAAACTGTCCACATAGATTCAGAGACTTGATTTCTATGTGACACCATCCTAGAAATCACTGTTCATTTAGATCATTAAATAAATATATTATCGTTTCCGTTGTCTTAGCTATTGCCTAAATGTGGGATATTCAAGTTTGTACATGGGATATTCTCAAATTCTAAGAATATATCTATTGTAATAAATGAATACTTTGAAGCATTTTTGAATAATAAGGTTTAGAAATCTGATAAAAATTAATGATTATTTCATGTTTCTGAAACCAGTTTCTATTCAATGAATAATTCTAGCACACAGACATATAAACACACAACTATGAACAAAGAACTGTTCTATTCAATAAACTGTCTTCATATTCTACAATCATGTGTCCAAATTGAAATATTGTAAACATGATCAAGTGTGAGGTCAATACATATATTCAACTGATAACATGTGAATTCGGGATTAATAGTAAGATAAAATTATTGATGCTTAGTTGAATTGTAAACTGTGTTAACTTTGATAACTTTATATTTTGAATGAAATTGTGAGAATAATGATCAGACATAATATGGGCAACATGGGTTGATAAAGAGAGAAGTGTAATTACAAATCAGAATACGTGTCTAGTCAGAAATTACGTAATATGTAGTATAATATGGTATGTAGTATGATATCCAGCTCAGGTAATGGGAGATCGTCACTCTGGATCATGGATGGATTGAAGTTAAATATTAAGACTGTTGCATGTTGACTAGAGATTGAGTATTTGCGCGCGAGATCGAAGGTCCTGAGTTTGGATTCCACGTGCGGAATCATGGACGCATACTTCTGAGGAGTCCCATGCTAGGACAAAGCAGCCATCCAGTTTTCTCAGGTTTTCAATGGCAGTTTAACTTAGATCGATTTCAATTGTCAAAATACTTTAATGTAAACAAATCCCCATACTGTTCATATGAATTATGAAGCAATTAGTTAGTATGAGTGGGTACCAAATAAATTTCTCACATCGTTTGCAAGCATCATTATAGTAATATGTAGGATTTAGTTTAAGCTATTAAAAGGCAAAGAGGAAGTCTGTTTTCATATTAGTCACATTCTGTCACCAAATTATCATAATTATTGTTAACGTATTAAGCCAGAAGTTGATCAAGGCAAAATGATTGATTAAACATATTTCATATGGACACATAATTCTCGCATTTCGATCTATCTTGTCGACCTCGATCTTGATTGATTATTGTTAATCTTTAGCCTCGCATTGTCTACTTCTATATTTTAATTGTATATCTCACTTATTTGATTCTTGATCCTATATATTCATCTATGAACAATAAAAGCTCCTCGAATAAACTATCCAGTTCAGAGAATAAAATAAAAATTCATTCCAACTAGAAGTACAGTTATTACATTAAATAAATTACATTGAAAAAAGATTAAATTAACTAAATAACTGAAGACAAATGATGCATATGACATTTTGTTTGTTTGGTTTTTTTATCTAAAAAAAGAAATTAAAACAGACAAGAAAGATAATAAAACCAAGTCAATTTGATGGGAAAATAAATGTGAATAGAGAGAATTTCAATTATCTGGACACTTATTTACAAAAGAAAGAGAGAGATTATTGCATCATTTTCGATAGAAGCAATTGAATAGTTTCTATGGTCATCTAACTCTTTTTCTTTATTTCTAGAAACTTTCCTTTACTTTCTATAGATTAACTAATTTTCTCTCTGAAATTCCTTTCTTTTTAAAACTTTTTCCCATGATTATCATTATCTCTGTAATTAAACTTCTTTCTAGGAAGAAAACTATTAAAAGAAATTATATAATGCAAATTGTCTTATAGACATAATGTGTTTACTTCCACACTAAGAAGAAAGCTTTGTTCATACATTTCATTATCATCATTGTTTGTAGTTGGGACATGTTATAAAATGATAGAGAAATATAAAGAGAAAAAATATATGAAGTAAATTGTTAAGATTAAAATAAACCAAGGGATATTTTGATGATTAATACATCACATATTATTGTTGAGTATAGAAGCTGAAAGAAACAATAATGGTCATTTGCCTTAATAATGAATTCTAATACTAAAGTAAGTAATAATACAAGAATATTTGGAATGTAACTCTCTCCCTACAAACATATGACTATTTCTGTATTGATATACTATAATCCTGAAGTGGTCGAACTTAATGATCGTTCTACTGATTTTTGAGGTATTATAAACCGGGATCTTGGTGATTAAAGTAATCCAAGCATGGATGAAAGCTTCACTTTCCTAATGCTAGGAAGATATCTGTTCATTTATTAAACATAGAGAATACCGAATAACTGTATCCAGTTTCATCTGATTATCATATAACTTTACCGTTATCATCAAAATAATGTTTTGATGTCTTTCTTACATTACATAATTTTGATATGAAGCATGATAAGGAAACGGTATTTGAGATAAGAAAGTGGTGTCGAAATAAGTAAACTACTTATGGAAGCAAGAAGTGTACGCTAGAATATAAAATTGGAAATTCTGTAGGATTTTATAGTTATATGACTTAAAATTTAATAACATAACTAGCTGAATAAGTCACATTACAGTTTCCCTATTCATTTCTTCAATAGATTTATACATTCACACATACAGAGTTTTCATTTACCACGAAAACATATTTATTTCTGAGAAATTTGGTGAATTAACAATGTTTGCATGATGTATAGCAACAGATGATATTCTTAGGTAGTCAAAATCATAAATGATATTTAGGAAAATATTCCATTGCATGTACTAAAGATAATTGCTGATAGTCACAATAATAAAATTTTCAAGTCAAATACTGTCATGCTATTCATTTTTGGCGACAGTAATCGAAGTGTTTTTATTTCTACCAATAGCTAAATGGTATTTTAAGATTTATCAATTCGATCATTTTTATAAGAATAATTTCACTGATTGAGATCATGAGTCAATTGAAGTTAGACCACCATGAAAAACCTGGAAGCACTGGATGGCCGTTTTGTTCTATTATGGGACTTCTCAGTAGTGCGTATCCACGATCCCGCACCCCGCGAGATTCGAACCGAGGACCTATAAGTATTTTTTGGTTAAAGTTCTCAAACAATTTGATAGTCTTCACCAGAAAACAGTGAATGAACTTGAAAATATCCAACACAATTATAACTGACATACATTCATCAGTTGAAATGACTGTATTTTTATTATTGCAAAAAACTTCAAGTTCGCTAGATCACCTGCAGTGCGAAAAAATAAATTTATTCTTTAAAATTAAATATAATTAGTTCACATTCCATTTGGCTAGAAGTAAAA